TGTGTCTCCCCCCCAGCAACAACATGCTGTACCCCAAGGAGGACAAGGAGAACCGGATCCTGCTCTACGCTGTGAGTGTCCCCCCACAGCCCCCATCTGGCGCTGGGACCAGTGCTGGGGGCGTACTGGGACCAGTCCCACTATGATAGCGGGCTGTGCCCACACCCCTACAGCCCCCAGTTTGGTACTGGGACCAGTTTGTAACCCCCGCTCTCCCCCCAGTGCCGTAACTGCGACTACCAGCAAGAGGCCGATAACAGCTGCATCTACGTCAACAAGATCACCCACGAAGTGGAGTGAGTGGGTTCGTTAGCGGAGGGGGTTCGTTAGCGGTTCTGGATGCCTGGATCCCCTCTGGACCCCTGGCTCCTGGTCCCAGCATTTCCGAACCCAGGACTGGGGGAATGTGTGTTAATAAAGAGCAATTAATGAGGGGAAAAGCAATTAAAAACAACCTGTGGGGCAATTAATAAGGAGGTAATCAGGAATTAGGGTAATTAATAAGAGAATTATTAAGGAGGAATAAAGAGTGAATGGTTGGTAGAGGGAGATAATAAAGAGAGATGAGTGGAGAACAATTAATGGGGGTAATTAATGGCAGACAACAGATCTTAGGTAATTAGTAATAATTAGTAAAGGGATAACTGGGGTATTAATAAGAGTGAAGGGTAAGTGGTAGATAATTAATAGGGAGAAGCAAGAAAGTACAATTCAAGGGCAATTAATGTGGGGGTATTTAATAGGGGTAATTAATGAGGGGGTTCCCAGGGTTATTAATAGCTTGGGGGTAATTAAGGGAACTAATTAGCACCCCGGGGCGTCTCCCCACAGCGAGCTCACGCAGATCATCGCCGATGTCTCCCAGGACCCTACGCTGCCCCGCACCGAGGACCACCCCTGCCAGAAGTGAGCCGGGGCGTCGGGGACCCCCCCCATGGGGGGTGTGGGGACCCTGATGGGGATGTTGGGGACCCCTGTGGAGATGTTTGGGACATTGGGGATTGCTGTGGGTATGTGGGAACCCTCGTAGGACATTGGGGACCCTCATGGGGATGTCAGGGACCCCTGTGGGGACTATGGGGCCCCCCATGGGGATGTGGGACCCCCTGTGGGGACCTGGGGACGTCAAGGACCCCTGTGGGGACATGGGAACCCCCTGTGGGGACATCGAGGACCCCTGTGGGGACATGGGAACGCCTGTGGGGATGTCAGGGAGTCCTATGGGGATGTGGGGACATCAGGGCCCCCCGTGGGGATGTCAGGGACCCCCCATGCATGGGGACCCCTGTGGGGACATGGGGACCCCCATCGGGATGTTGGGGACTCCTGTGGAGATGTTTGGGACGTTGGGGATTGCTGTGGGTATGTGGGAACCCTCGTGGGGACATTGGGGACCCTCATGGGGATGTCAGGGACCCCTGTGGGGACATGGGGGCATTCAGGACCCCCGTGGGGACGTTGGGGTCCCCCATGGGGATGTGGGGACATCGAGGACCCCCTGTGGGGACCTGGGGGTGTCAAGGACCCCCATGGGGACATGGGAACCCCCATGGGGACGTCAAGAACCCCTGTGGGGACATGGGAACCCCTGTGGGGATGTCGGGGAGTCCCATGGGGATGTGGGGACATCAGGGCCCCCCGTGGGGATGTCAGGGACCCCCCATGCGTGGGGACCCCCATGGGGATGTTGGGGACCCCTGTGGAGATGTTTGGGACATTGGGGATTGCTGTGGGTATGTGGGAACCCTTGTGCGGACATTGGGGACCCTCATGGGGATGTCAGGGACCCCTGTGGGGACTATGGGGCCCCCCATGGGGATGTGGGACCCCCTGTGGGGACCTGGGGACGTCAAGGACCCCTGTGGGGACATGGGAACCCCCTGTGGGGACATGGGAACCCCTGTGGGGATGTCAGGGAGTCCTATGGGGATGTGGGGACATCAGGGCCCCCCGTGGGGATGTCAGGGACCCCCCATGCGTGGGGACCCCCATGGGGATGTTGGGGACCCCTGTGGAGATGTTTGGGACATTGGGGATTGCTGTGGGTATGTGGGAACCCTTGTGCGGACATTGGGGACCCTCATGGGGATGTCAGGGACCCCTGTGGGGACTATGGGGCCCCCCATGGGGATGTGGGACCCCCTGTGGGGACCTGGGGACGTCAAGGACCCCTGTGGGGACATGGGAACCCCCTGTGGGGACATGGGAACCCCTGTGGGGATGTCAGGGAGTCCTATGGGGATGTGGGGACATCAGGGCCCCCCGTGGGGATGTCAGGGACCCCCCATGCGTGGGGACCCCCATGGGGATGTTGGGGACCCTTGTGGAGATGTTGGGGACATTGGGGATTGCTGTGGGTATGTGGGAACCCTTGTGCGGACATTGGGGACCCTCATGGGGATGTCAGGGACCCCTGTGGGGACATGGGGGCATTCAGGAACCCCTGTGGGGATGATGGGAACCCCTGTGGGGATGTGGGAACCCCCATGGGGACATCGAGGACCCCCTGTGGGGACATCGGAGCCCCCTGTGGGGACCTGGGGGTGTCAAGGACCCCTGTGGGGACGTGGGAACCCCCATGGGGACGTCAAAGACCCCTGAGGGGACATGGGAACCCCCTTGGGGACATTGAGGACCCCTGTGGGGACATGGGAACCCCTGTGGGGATGTCAGGGAGTCCTATGGGGATGTGGGGACATCAGGGCCCCCCGTGGGGACGTCAGGGACCCCTGCCTGTGGGGACATGGGGACCCCTGTGGTGATGTTGGGGATCCCCATGGGGACATGGGAACCCTCGTGGGGACATCAGCCCCTCACCGCCACACTGCTCTGGTATCCCCACTTGGGTCTCCTGTGCCCTCCCCAGCTCCGATGTCCCCTCATGGGATCTCAGGTGTCCCTCTTTGTCCCCATCCCCCCCCTCCAGTGGCTGCAGTTTCCCCATGGGGCTCTGGCGTCCCCCCTCATAGCTCCGATGTCCCCCCACGGGCCTCTTATGTCCCCTGCTGTCCCCCTGTCCCCCAGGTGTGGGCACAAGGAGGCCGTCTTCTTCCAGTCGCACAGCGCCAGAGCTGAGGTGAGGTGACCCCCCGAGCCCTGCCCCCCAACCCCTCAAAACTATTTCCATCCCCTCAAAGCCATCACCGTCCCCTCCACCTGTGTCCCCGTCCCCCCCCAGGACGCGATGAGGCTCTACTACGTCTGCACCGCCCCGCACTGCGGCCACCGCTGGACTGAGTGACGGCACCTGGAGATTCTCTCAGACCCCGAAATCACGCCAGCTGGCGCCCGGTACCCCAAAACCTCCCCCCGCCAGCCG